TCGAGCAAATTGACGAACAATGGGAGGGCCTTTACCTTTACCTTAGAATTTGTTGAAATGAGGGCTGGAACAATAGCACAGCAGGTAGGGCGTTTGCCTTGCACGCAGTCAACACGGCCGACCTGAGTTTGATTCCTCTGCCCCTCTTGGAGAGCCCAGCAAGCTACCGAGAGTATCTCACCCGCACAGCAAAGCCTGGCAAGCTACCTGTGACATATTCGATATGCCAAACACAGTAGCAAGTCTCACAATGTTACTGGGCTCACTAGAGAAAATCGATGAACACCAAGAGGACAGTGACAGTGACAGTTGAAGTGAATGTAGATTTAATGAAGTAGATAGTTCTGATAGGTTCCTTTGAGGACTATCAAAAATACATTGGTTTTTGGTTAATTGTCTAGGTTATATACCAAGTGACAAAACCAGACCCCAGGACCAGAGTGATAATACAGAGGGTAGGGCATTTTCCTTGCATGTGCCCAACCTGGGTTTCCTCCACAGCATCTCATAATGGTCCCCTGAGCCCATCAGGAATGATCCCTTAGCACAGTGCCAGGAGGAATGTTCTGAGCATCACTGAATATGGCCCCAACCCTTCCCCACCCCCTCTACCATTCCCAAACAAACCAACCAGGATGCCGATCACATTCTAGGATTATGATATGCCACAAGATGTGCAAACACATCCCTATTTCCTGGTCCCATAAAACATTAAACATTATTTTTTTTTGTTTCTGGGTCATGTTTGGTTGCTCTCAGGAGTGCTCCCCCTTGTGGTGATTGGGAAACCACATGTGATGCTAGGAATTCGAAATAGGATCAGCCTTATGCAGAAAAGGTTCTTAACCCCTGCGCTCTCTCTGCCCCCTCCTCCTGAAATATTTTTGACATTTACTATACCTTAAAAAAAATTTTGGTAAATGGCACGGTGTGAGGGTTTGCAACAGCAAGTCTCTTATTTATTTCCTGTCTTTCTACACCTATATAGGTTCCTTCAGCTTCAGTATACACCGGCAGTTTCCCTCAGCCTTGTCTTTTTTTTCTTCCAGTACTTGGAAAGAACCGTAAAAATAGGAGACCAGGTACCAGGGAGATAGCTCAACAGGCTGCATGCTGGAGCCCAGGTTTGATATCCGTAGTTCTCCACCACTTCCAGAGAGCCACCCTGAACACTGCAGGATGTGGCCAAACACTTCCCCCGATCCCCAAGAAAAGGAAACCAGAAGTCATGGATGTAGGTCAGTGGTAGAGCACATGGCTTGTGTGCGTTAACTCCCTGGTTTCCATCCTCACACATTTCCCAGCACTGTGGCTTCTAAGTACGGTCACTATGACACTAAAGAAAGAAGTAGGAGGGGCTGGAGCAACAGCACAGTGGGGAGGGCATTTGCCTTGCACATGGTAATACATTACCGGTTCCCAGCATCCCATAAGGTCCCTGAGCACCACCAGGAGTGATTCCTGAGTGCAGAGCCAGGAGTAACCCCTGAGCATCGCCGGATGGAACAACAACAACAACAACAACAAAAAAAAAAAACAAAAAAAAGAAAGAAGTAGGAACCTGGGCCTGGGATGTAGCTCGGTGGTAGGAGGCATTCCTAGTAGGTGGAGAGCCCTGGGTTTGATCCCTTCCTCACTGCAAAAGGAAAACCATGAAGATTGTTAAACATGGGTAAGCAGAAAGAAAAGCCAAATGCATAGGAAGAATAATAAAATAATAATTCTACCACCCATAGGCAGCCAGAATTTAACAATGTGGCCTGTGGTCTGCTCTTTCCATGTGGGAATCCTTCCATTCTAGCTGCAGAATGTATTACCAACAGTGGGGTCAGAAAACCTTTGTCAGTGTAATTACAAGCACCTCCAGGGGCCCTCTGTGTGATTTTTCAAGTCTTCACTCAGATGGTTGTGTACATTTGGGTTTTCACTTGAAGAAATGCAAACTTTCTTTTATTGTTCAAATATTTGCATGAGATTTGTCTTCCTAGACATTTTCTTCCCAATAAGACAGGCTCAGGGGCTAGAGCCATAGAACAGCGGGTAGGGCATTTGCCTTGCATGCAGCTGACCTGGGTTCGATTCTCAGCATCCCATATGGCCCCCTGAGCACTGCCAGGAGTCATTCCTGAGTGCAAAGTCAGGAATAACCCTTGTGCAATGCCAGGTGTGACCCAAAATGCAAAAACAAAACAAAACAAAACAATAAGACAGGCTTATCTCATAAAACCTAGCTCTACCACAAGCTTTGCATGCAGGAGGTCCAGGGGTTCACCCTCATATATGTCCCCTCAAGCACTCGGAGGAGTGATCCCCCTCATAGATGTCCCCTCAAGCACTCGGAGGAGTGATCCCCAAGCACCACATGTGAGTGGCCCTTGAGCTCTGCCAGTTGTGCCACCAAAACTGAAACCAACAGAAAACCCAGCTTCAAGTCCTTTTGAACTCATTTCTAGAACCCTTAAAGTTTCCTGCCACAATCCCGTTCCTCCGCACCTCCTGCCAACTCCCCACCAACTAGGCAAGCCGAGAGCCAGGATTTTGGTGGCGCCTGGTCATCGTGAACTGGGGTCTCCAGCTGAGGCGACACTCCAAGACAGCAAAATACCGAAATCGTCCAGGTAGAGGTGGCATTACTCCCTGGTCCCTGGGAATACTCCTAGGCCCTGCTTCATGGAGCCCCCTCCTGGTGCCCCGCAGGGGTGGAGTATGTTTGGTGGCTTCCCTGGGTCTCTGGGATTGGACGCTGGCCTGTGACTGCATGCCAGGGGTGTCGACCCCCCAGAACCTGGGCAGGAGCGTGGGTGAGTCTAGGTCACAGCTTTCTCCTTCGCCACTGCTTGGGCCTAACCATGCGACTCTCCCTGGCGTACTTGGCTTGGCAGCCTCCAGTGCTCGGACCCTGGCCTGCCCACCCCCTTCTGGCGTCTGCAGACATGGTGAGCCGGCCCAGGGTGCCACACCTTCAGAAACGCGTGAAGGCCCCGCCACACTTTGGCTCCAAGAACCCCCATAACCTACCCCAAGCGGGCTACAGAGGTGTAGGGAGGGGCAAGGGGCACTGGCCAGCCCGGGTCATCGGGCGGGGCGCTCGGGGATTGGCCAGCGCCTTGATACTTTGTAGCGCCTGCTGGGGTGCGGGGCAGCACGTGCACGCCGGCGGAAGCCGAGCTGCGGAGGTGGCGACAACGACCTGCCGGCAGCCACGCCCAGAGCCACGGCCTGGTGTCCCGGCCACGGCCAGGGAGCTGCGCACCTGCAAAGGTTCGGAGCCCACTGGGGACCTGGATGGGAGGCTTAGGGCCTGGCGGACCCCCAGACTCAACTTTCTTCTGGGGGGCCCAGTGCCTGACCCTGCTAGGCCGAGTCGAGCGGGGGTGCAGGTGCTGGGAGAAACCTGGGGCCTGGGCGAGCCCCGCTTTGCTCGACGCCCTCGAAGGACGCGGGGCTCGGGCTTTCTCCTTCACGCGGGATGAATGCGGCGCAAGCGAGTTGGAATGTGGAGATGCCGCGGGGAACCTGGGAAGCCGAGCGCGTGCCCGCGGCGGGGCGGGTGGGGCGGGGGTTGGGGGGAGAGCTGGGAGAGGCGTGGAGCAGGTCGGCAGTGCCCACCTCCCCTCCCCCGCGCGGGGTGGCGCCAGCGGCCTCAGCGAAACCTGCCGCTGGCTGTCCCCGACTGGGGCAGACGGGCAGACTGCAACCCTTGGAGGGAGCATGGATGGGCGAGGAAGCAAGTTTGTGCCACTAGCTACAGGACACGGCCAAGCTGTCTGCTGTTAAAAAGGGGTGTGCTGTGTGTCTCGCTGGGTACCTGTGAAAAGGGAGAAGGCGCAAGGCCTTCCAGACCTACTTGAGGGCCCGAGCTATAGCACAGCAGGGAGGGCGTTTTGGTGCATGCGCCCGGCGCGGGTTCCATCTCCCGCAAGGTCCCTCCAGCACCGCCAGGTACAGTCCTGAGTGTAGAGCCTGGTGTAAGTCCTGAGCACCACTGTGTGTGGTCCCAAATTAAAAATAAAAAGTAAATAAAGCCTACCTATAAGTGTGTGCAAGGGGGACCAAGGCAGTGGGATTGTGGACTGGGTTCTGGGGGGGTGGTGTTTGGGTGTAATACATGAATGCTACATACTTGCACGCTGACCTGCTGGCCACTCTGCTCAGGAAGGACCTGTCTCTCCAGGCGCAGTCAGTGTATCCACCCAGTGCACTTGAGAAGGTGACAGATCCAGGGGCCAGAGCATCAGTACAGCAGGTAAGGCACTTGATTTGCACACAGCATCCGCGAAATCTAGCATCTCACTGACCTCTGAGCCCTGCCAGAAATAACCCTTGAGCATCATGGGTGTGACCCCAAGAACCAAAATAAATAAATAAGAGGTGAAGGAGTCAGACTGGGGGGGGGAGGGGAGGGCAGAACCAGGCTGTTCATTTTGTAGTGTAGTTTTGTTTTCTTAAAACAATTTGTTGAACTAGGGCAACCTTGAAAACTTTGTGGCTTTTAGTTGCTTAATTTTTCCCTCCTAAAATTAAAATAGTTGAAGCCAGATGGAGCTGATGCTGTTGCATACCCAGAGGCTGATCTTTGCAGATAAGACAAATATATGTCTGCCCAACCCTGGCTCAGGGCACCTTCTAACGATTTCAGAGGGTTGACATCCACCTGTTAGGTGCTGGGGAAATCGAATGACCTCCACATTTATGGCCCCTGGTCCCTGCCCCCACTGAGCCCCAAGAAGGTGTGAAACAATCCTCATTGGAATAAGCGTGAAGGAGGCAAAAAGACCTAGCAAGGATCTGTGGAACAACCAGAAGGTTCAGGGGTGAGCTGTCACAGGGCCAGGCCCGCTCTGTCTCCCACACATCAAGTACCGGTGGGCAGACCAGAGGGAAATCTGTTGCCATCCTCTGTGCTCCCTTGGGCGAGTTCTCACTGTTGCTGTAAGACATGGAGCTGGTCTCAGGGTCTCTTGTACAGTTAGCCTCATCTTTGTCTTCTTTGCAGTAGGATGCAGAGCTTGCTGACGCTGCTTAGGGGGAATGAGGGCAGTGGCCCGTCCCTGGCAGAGTTGGTGACCCTCACGGGCAAACTGTGTCGCGACCTTCAGGATGACCCTGCCCAGGTACAGCCCTTGGTCACAGCTGTGTTGGACAGCCAGATCCGCCTGCACCTTCTGGACAATGCGGATGTGGCCCTGGTATGTGCCCGCATGCTGGCCCAGCAGGAGCAGCACGAGGCTGCCTGCCAACTGCTGGAGGTAGGACTGGCTGTTGGAGGGCTGAGAAGAGGGGAATCGGCTCCAAAACACAGTGACAATGCCTGGAAGTCAGCAGGAGCTTGAGCAGCTGTGCTATCCACTAGCCAGTGTGGACCACATTCATTTCTCTAAGCACAAATGTCTGTAGTGACCCCACCTGGAATAGAGTTCAGAGGTGATTGAAATGGGAGAGTGTAAGGGTAAGGCCCTGGGTTCCATGTCTGGCACTACATATTCCTCTCACACTACGGGGTGTGTACCCCAACAGTTAAATGGAAAGCAAAGAGAACAGTAGCAGGGACAAAACTAACCATTTATCAAATCTGTACTGAATGGGGCTGCAGGTTGACTTTAGGTTGACCTTGCGACCACTCACTACTTTCAGACTAGCCTGGAGCAATAGATAGCACAGCAGTAGAACGTTTGCCTTGTACCCAGCCATCCTGGCTGAGCCAGGTTCAATTCCTCCGCCCCTCTCAGAGAGCCCGGCAAGCTACCGAGAGTATCTCGCCCTCACAGCAAAGCCTAGCAAGCTCCCCGTGACGTATTTGATATGCCAAACACAGTAACAAGTCTCACAATGTTACTGGGCCCACTTGAGCAAATCGATGAACAATGGGAGGACAGTGACAGGACAGTGACAGTACTGAATGTGGATGGTGGTATGGAGAGCTGGCATCCTGTAGGAGAAATAGTCAAACAAACCCACGTAGGTTTCCTCATCTTCAGGTCTGCAATTGAGAATTTTGAAAGTCGGCCTCTCTGCCACTTTTTCTTATGGCACATGCAATCACAGCTTGGGTACCTTTTGCATGTACTGATATGAAGCTGTTCATGTTGAGTATATTTTGTTGCCTAAGTACCAGTATGTCTGATTGCAGGATGCTTCATGCCCCAGATAGGGTACAAATACAGTGTTTTATTTAGTGTATGTGTTTTACCCTAAAATATGATTTTTGGATCCTTATCTGTCTAAAGGGTTTCCATTAATGGACTTTGGGTCTATTTTTTTGCATTTCCCCTTTGTGTTGTCCATGCATGCATCATGCTGAGTTTCCCTACACAACATCCAACCAATCCTTCCAAGGTCTTCTGTTTCTGCTTTCTCCTCTAGCTGTGTGTTCACCTGGCTCCTCTCCATCTGTCCTCTCCTGCCCATTCCTTTTAGTCCTCATGGACCCCCCAGAGAGATTTTTTAAGTGCAGATGGACTGTGTTGTGTGCCTGATGTTTTCTGAGCATGTCCCCAATGTCACCTTGTATTCTCCCTGGGTTTTCTCCATACCTACTCTGTTGGCTCCTTGGTGTACCAAGAACTTCCAAGGTACCTCTGTGTCTCAGGGCCATGCATAATACATTTCCTCGGTTGTGGCTGGGGCCCCCCTCTTGGTGTGGCTGCTGCCTTTCTGAATTCTGCCTTAAAGGTCACCCTCTCTAGGCAGGGGTTTTCCAGCAGAAACCCCTATGCCACTCATGGGAGCCTCCCTCAATTCATAACTAAAAATGTACATATTTGGTGGGGTATTTCTGTTTGTCTTTTTGTTTTGAGGCCATATCCAGCAGTGATCAGGGCTTACTCCCAGCCATGCTCCACTATTGCTCCGACCCTGCTAGTGTATTTTATATCTGCTTCCCCTCACTGAACTGCCAGCTTGTTGAGGGATGAGCACCCCTGTCTTGGTGATTACAAGATCCATGGCAGCAGCAGCATGAATCCTCATGTACAGCTGAGTAGGAACATAAGAGGTGTCAAATTAGTCAAAATAAATGAGGTGAGCCAGCAAGTGAACTCAGCTGTGGTGTCTGCCATAAAGGCATCCCAGAGGATACATGTGAGTGGCATCTGTGATGAAGAACTTCAGGAGAAGAACTCAGTCATACTTGTGCAGAGGTGTGGCTAGCAGGCCAGTCAGCTGTCTTCTCCTGGCCATAAGCCCCCTTCTAAGGGATAGTCAGGAGCTATGCTCGGGTAGGGCTGAAGTGCTTCCCTGAGTGGGTGGCTGAGGGTGACCAAGGACATGCCTTAGAGCCTGGTGGTGACTTTAGTGCTGCCATCTGCCTCCTGCCCTCACTGTTGGCAGAAGGAGCTCTTCTTCCCGGGCCCACTCCAAGGGTGGTGGTCCAGGTGGTGGGGGCAGCCAGATGTCAGTGACTTTTCTTGCCAGGATTGCCGGACCCCAGGAGGCAGTGAGGAGCTAGTTCAGCTCTGGAACGACATTCATTACCGCCTGGTCATGAAGAGACTGGGCGTGGCCACGCTGACTCCAGTGCAGAAGTTCCGCTGCCGGAAGAGGTATTCTTCCACACTGACTTATCTTATGTCCTGGCATTCTCCAACCCATGGAGGATGAGCTGTAAGCATGGGGGATCACATCAGGAATGACAACAAAAGCAGTAGGCATCAGCCTGAGTGCTCGGCTGGGCTCTTTACCTGCTCTGCTGGCTGGAGGATAGATTGCACCCTGATATGCAGGATCACAAGGGGAGTTATTCCTCGGACCCTGTGGAAGTCCCCACTGCAGCAGAAAGCTGCATCCATTTCCTTCCCATGGCAGGCAACACATGCACTGTTCAGTGCCGTGTTCCCCATCCTCAATTTTGCGGGGGCAGTGCCAGAACCTCAGCATTGCCCCCCGCAGACTGCGGCATCTCTGAGATGTGACGGTGAGTTCTTTAGACACTCATGTGAGCCTCAGGTGGTGCCTAGATGAATGCCTAGCACAAGACAGGCCAAAGAGGTGTTAGTGAGAGCCAGCAGCATTTTGTAGGCTTCAGACTGTTAGTGACTGTCACTGACATCACCGCTCATGGGTGAGGAAACCAAGGCACGCACAGGTTTATTGACCTGCCACAGTTGCATGAGAGGGAGATTAAAAAGCCAGGATTGTAGCCAACACATAAGTAAAGGAAGTACATGACCTCCTTCTGTATTCCACTGTCCAGCCACAACAGTGACAGTCCTTTGCTCAGGCCTGCAGCTCAGTGAGGGATCCCGCATGCCTCTGGAGACTCCCAGGGGAGTGTGGAGTCTTGTGTGGCTGAGCAGAGCTCAGTCCTGTGCTGCAGCATACGCTCCCTTCAGGACTGCAAGGGTGGAAGAGTGGGTGCTGAGAGGAGAAATCTGGGGTGCATCCAGGGGAGCAGACATCTACACCCATCTCACTGTTTTCACCAGGAACCCCCCACCACCTTCCCTCTGCCCTGACGGTCTGAAGAGCAGAAACTTTCCCAGGGAGGTTCGCCAGAAGTTGCAGGACTTTGCCTCGGGTGTGAGCATCAACCCCAGCAAGGCTGAGCGAGTAAGAGCAACCTCCCCTCAGGGACCCCATCCCTAGAGACCTCCCAGCTGCCCCTCAGTCCTGAGAGATTCCCCTGTTAGGTGGTTTCTGATTTTTGAAATCACCCGAGGAAAGGATGTCAGCGAGTTTCAAGCCTATATGGGAGAAGTTTTGTTTCTCACCAGGGCTGTAATGTCCCCTGTCAGGTGTGGCGGCAGATGCTCATGAGTACCCACTGGCCACTGTACTCAGGTGAGAGGGACTTTCTCTGGGCCTGTTACAGGGCTCTCCCTGAGCTCTCTTCTTGACTCAGAGGTTGGGGCCTGCTTCTGAGGCAGGAAAGGAGGTGTGTGCAGTGTCCCTGGGCACTCACATGTCATTAGCTCAGGGTCATCAACCAGTTCAGTTGTCCCCCACCCAGCTCTCCAGTGTCTGAGGCAGAGTATCTGTGTTCATGTGGTCACTGTTCTGCACTCCCACTACCCTCTGCCTCATACCTTCTGTTCCCACCATTCATTTCGCCTGTGGGTCAGGAGAGGGGGACCAAGTGAGGTCGTATTGTTTGGGGGCAGGAGAAGCTGGCCTCTGAGACGAACTTGACAGCAGAGCAGGTTTACAACTGGTTTGCCAATTATCGGCGGCGCCAAAGGGCCTTTGTGCAGCACATGGAGACAGCCCCAGAGGCCATAGCAGAAGATTCCAGTGCAACAGTGAGGGACCTTCTACAGCCCTCAGCTCAACCCTGTGTTGACTCCAAGAGTGTGGACAGGCCACACTGGAAAGGTGAGTAACCTTTGCTCTTGTTTCCTGTATTGGGGACTAGTTTCTGACATTAGTGCTACGGGGCCCCCTGTCAGGCCTAGGTCTGGTCATATGTAGTATGGGAAGCTCGCTCCCACCACAGTCAGCCTGTTTGGCATTTGACCACATGGGAAGGAGATCACTGAAACTGGGGTGATGTTGCGAATGGACCCAGGTGGGACTTGGCTTTGTTGTTATGCACTAACTGGCACTATGTGGCCAGGGCTCAGTGGGATGAGCACTGGGACTTAGGGTGTCCTAGGGTGGTATTTATGGATTTCCACTCAGACCCAAGTGTCAGACTCAGGGACAAAGGAACATTGTGATGAGTTGGGAGCCACACCATTCTTCAGTCTACTGAAACCTTATTACCTGTGGGGGGAGATGGGACCTAGAGCATCAGGCGGCCTTTCCTCTCTCTTCCCTGTTTTCAGCATCACATGAGAAAAATGGGCATATGCAGCCCCCACAGACTGACCATGGATTGTGGGATGCGTTGGCTTTGGCCTCAGACTTCCGTGGAGAAGAGGCTTTGTCAGAGCCACTGCCCAGGTACTGCCAAGCCCACAGGTGGGGTGGGAGGTTGAGGTCCTCTCCTTGTTCAGCTTCCCTTATCTCACATGATGACAACAGGGAGCAGAAGCCGCCACCGGTCTAGGATGTGGAGTTACTAGCAAGGAACTTACTTCATGGCTTCCCACGCTTGTTCTTAGGAACCTGATTTTATGCTTGTTTTTTAGGATTGGGAATACAGAGAAGAAAATAATTTCGCCTGCTTCCTAAGGACAGACTCAGCTGTCCATGTGACTGTTTTGTTTTTTTTCTTGAATCTTTTATGGTGTGTATTGCAGTGAGCTAGCACCATGCACATTTCCTGAGTTCCTGCTTTGTGCCAAGTATTGTCCAACACTTTTCCTCACACTCTGATCTCTTAAGAATGAAGCGAGCACCAGATCTGTGACTGTGTGATGCACTGGCCATTGAAAGGATTAGGCCTTAGAGCAGAGAGCAGGGTCAAGTCCGTGTCTTGTGCAATCATTTAGCCATGCATTTACCATTTCAGTGCCTGTGGTACTGCCCAATACTGGCCTAGCTCCTAGTACCTTGCTGTTGTTATCTGTGAAATGGGAATAGTGGTAGGGCCAGCTATGCAGGTTATCTAGAAATCACAGGGCTAGGGTGGGGAGTGTCCGCTAAAGTTCAGGTGCACCATTCTAGACTCAGTGAGTATTTTTGAAATGTTAATTATTCAGAGTGTTATCAACTACTTTGCATTGCTTCTTTAGGATCAATCATTAATATACTTAACTCTGAACATTTTCTAATGATCTCAGCTTTCAGTATTATTGAGCAATGCTTTGTTCAAAGTCATTCTAAATAAACTGCTGATTTTTTTTAGGTCTCCAGTAAAAGTATAAATTCAGTGTCTCTGGGGCCTTGCAGCCACAGGGAGAGGAGAAGGCAGCAGGATGGGGGCAGTGCTGAGCCCACAGCTGTTGGCGTCTGGATTGCACCAGGAACCCAGACTGGGCTGCATTCTTCTCCTGGGTCCTTTGGCCCAGCCTCAGTGAGCCTGTGATCACACAGTGATGGTGTTTACTGTGTCTTCCAGGTCTCTGCAGAGTGGTGAGATGTATCGGGAAGGGCCTGGACATGACCCTGCTGTTTGCCCTGGCTCTGGCTTCTGCTCTCTTGCTGGCGGCAGTGACATGCTGGACCACTCCCTGGCTGCTCCTGAATCATGGCTGATGTCTCTTGCACTGGCGTCCTCCAAGGAAGTTGGCTTCCAGACGGGGCCTCTGGCCCATAGTCCTGGCATGGACTTCATGCTGCATCCTACAGATACTGCCGTGGCTGTGTCTGTTGCTGCCTTGGGTGAACCCTATCCTACAGGTGGGTCTGCTCCATGGAAACACAAGTTTCTGCCCCATCCAGGTACAGATGTCATTTCTACTGTGCTTTTTTGCACCGTCGTGATATGTTCCCAGAAGTGGTATTGTGGGTCATATCCTAGTTTTTGAAGTAATGTCCATATTGTTTTTCTAAAGGGCCGGACCAGTCGGCATTCCTACCAACAATGAAAGAGAGTCCCTTTCTCCCCAGATTTGCGCCAGCACTGGTTGTTCTTGTTCTTTTGGATGTGTGGTGTGAGATGATATTTCATTGTTGTTTTGATTTGCATCTCCCTGATGATTAGCCTCACACTACTTTGAGCAGATGCAATGTCTTGTATTTCTAGTGTCCTAATTGGAAATTTCAAATGATGTGGTTAGTGGATATTGTCTTCAATGTAGTACAGAGGAAGAGGGCCAGAAAGAGGGAGGACTGAGGCCCTCTGGAGGCAGGTTCTAGTCTGCTCCCCCACTCTTTCAGATCTTGTCCATTGCGGGTTTCTGTTGAGACTCAGAGTTTTCCCACGTTTGCTAACTGGGCTGGATTGTTGATGGTTGGCAGTAGAGGGAGTTACTCTTCATGTTAGGTCCTTTCCTGCTGATGCCTGAGCCCGGGAATTGATCCTGTTTTCCCTATTAAACCATCAGCATCCTTGGCCTTTATGTGGACCAGTGAACTGGTGTGAACCAGTGCTTACTTTTAGATAACCTTTTTTTTTCTTTTTGGGTCACACCCGGCGATGCTCAGGGGTTACTCCTGACTTTGCACTCAGGAATCACTCCTGGTGATGCTCGGGGGACCATATGGGATGCTGGGAATCGAATCTGGGTCGGCCGTGTGCAAGGCAAACGCCCTACCCGCTGTGCTATTGCTCCAGCCCCACTTTTAGATAACCTTTTATTATGGAGTTTCACACTTTTATTTTTAGTTTTTGGGACATATATGACTGTACCTAGGACTTACTCCTGATGCGTTGCTCAGGGATCACTCCTGGTGGGTATGGGGTGCTAGGGATTTAGCCCAGATCAGACACATGCAAGGGTAGCGTCCTGTCTGCTGTACTACTACTCTGACCCCTTGTGGCAGATTTTTAATTTTTTCCAGCTAGTTTAGTTGAAACCATTTTATAAAAGAATTGTTAAGTTTTTATTAAATTAAGTCATTGATTTCAGCTGTGGTTTCATGTTGGTCAATTTACTTCTGGAACAAACTTTGTTTCTGGAACCCCATTGTGAGTGCTACCTGCAACTCCTCGACTCAGGTCTGAGACTGGCAACTCAAGTGTGTTGTGCATCTTGGAACAGTGGGCAGGATGGATCCTCCTCCTCTTGACTCCTGTTTGTCATCCCAAACTGGTCAGGGCCATAGTGGCTTATTTTTAAAGATGGCTGAGATACTTTTTGAAACATCTGTATAGGGAGAAGTGGCAAGGTAAAATTGTATAAGATTAAAGGGGAAAATGGTAATTTGTTTCCCCTTAAACCAGCGTAGGAGGAACTGAGAGACCAGTTGCTCAGCTCTGCCCTCACCTCCAGTCCCGAGCAGGGCCAGATTCAGAGGCTGTCTTTGGAATGGGCTCTTATGTAAATTCAGGAATGAGAATGCAGAATTTGAAGTGGAGGTGGTGTGACTTTGTCCTGGTTTCTGACTCCCTAAAAGGATCAGTGTCTCTTTCTTCCTCTTTCCCATCATGGCCAGGAGTTGCTGACATTCTTCTGGGAGCCTTGTTTGGGCTGCCTCTAGGACCTGGTATGTACTTCCTCCTGAAGTTAGGCTTAGGAATTTCTTCCTGTGCAGGATTTGTTGACCCGGTCAGCAGCAACCATCAGATGACCTACCCAGAAGAAGGTCCAGGCACCAGTGGTAGCCAAACAGAAGGACAGGTGGGCGGCTTCCTTTTGACACAGCTCCAGTCACAGACTTCTGAATTCATCCTTACACAGAGGTAAGCTCTGTGGAGCCACGAGGCTTGGCAGTGCTTTTTGTGTGCCAGGTATATGGTGCTATTCAATTCTCAGGTGCAGACTGATGCTTTTCCTCAGGGATTTTGAGGTGCAACAGCAGTTGCTGTGTCTACCCAAAGTAGAGCATATATTTTTCCCTTGTACCACAGGATAGCAGAAACAGAACTGACATGGAAATTGTTCTGCGGATGGTCCTCAGCCTCTTCTCCTAGATTGCCATGGGCCCCAGTAGCCTCCTTATGGCACCTTTTTTTTCTCCAAAGAAGAATTGTAATTTCTATTGTAATTTCTGAACAGTATCAAAAGCCTGGTCTTATTTTTATTCATTTTGGCAGGCAATACTCAGTACTCCTGGCTCAGTGCTCAGGTGTCAGGAATAACTTCAGGCAGACTTGGGGGACGATATGAGGTGCCAGAAATTGAACAGAGGTTGACTGCTTGTAAGGCAAGCACCCTATTCACTATACTATTAATCTAGCCCCATCAAAATTCGTGTTTAATATTTGAAATTGGTTTTAAAGGGACATGGAGGGCTATGACCAGCCTCGGTACTGCAGCCTGTGGCTGTGGAGATAATCCTGGAGTCTGCAGAGGTACAGAGGCATGGATAAGGGAATCTATGGTGGAGGACTCTCAGGGCTAGGTCCAGGGTCTTCCTGTTTGGGGAGTTAAAGGCCAGGTAATCCATCCAGGACAGAGTCACAGAGGATGTAGGAGAGCAAATCACTTCAACTCATTGCTGTCCTATGAAAGTTGCTGGATGGTAAGAAAATCAATACTTCACGCCCTTTATTGGCTGCAGTTGGTGGTGCTGGGGGAGGTATATGAACTGCTGAGGATGGAACCTGGTCCTCCCAACATGCAAAGCATATGCTCAGCCCATTGAGCTACCTCTGGCCTCCCATCTAATTTCCTTTTGGTTTTGGGGCTATACCCTGCTGTGCTTAGGGCTTACTCCCACCGCTCATGTGTTTACCTTCTAACAGTTAGACTGTTGTCCTCAGTGACTACACCTGCCACCCTCCCTGCTATTCCCTGATCTGGTCCTCAGGGCCTCTTGTATTCTGCACATCCCATGCACATCCAAACCTGGGTCCTCTTTTGTGACTTCTTCCTCCTATGGTTACTGCTTAACCAGTGCCTTCTCTGTGAGTCTGCATTGGTATTTTTTAAAAAATGTTTATTAGAGAAACACCATGAGGTACAGTTGTAGACTTACAAATTTTTGTGTTTCAGTTATAAAATGATCGGGTACCCATCCCTCCACCAGTGCCCATTCTCCACCACCAATGATCCCAGTATCCCTCTCAACTCCCCCATCCCCCCCATCCCACCCTGCCTCTGTGGCAGGGCATTCTCTTTTGTTCTCTCTCTCCTTTTGGGTGCTGTGGTTTGCAAAAGAGGCATTGAGTGGCAATCATTTTCAGTCTATAGTATACTTTCAGCATGCATCTCCCATTCTGGGAGGATCCTCCCAACACCCTTTACTTGGTGCTCCCTTCTTTATCTGAGCTGCCTTTTCCCCTAGCATGTGTGGCTGGCCTCCAAGCCATAGAGTGAACCTCCTGGAACTTATCTCAACTATTCTTGGGTGTTAGTCTCCTATTTTGTACTTCATATTCCCCAGATGAATACAGTCTTTCTGTGTCTGCCCCTCTCTTTCTGACTCATTTCACTTAGCATGGTACTTTCCATGTAGTACCACTTGTACATAAATTTCATGACTTCATCTTTTCTAACAGCTGCCTAGTACTCCATTGTGTAGATGTACCAAAGTTTCTTTAACCAGTCATTTGTTCTCAGGCACTCGAGTTTTTTCCAGAGTTTGGCTATTGTGAACAGTGCAGCAATGAACATAGAAGTGCAGATGTCATTTCGACTATACTTTTTTGCCTCTCTGGGATATAATCCCAGGAGTGGTTTTACTGGGTCAAATGGGAGCTCAATTTCTAATTTTTTGAGAACCGTCCATATTGTTTTGCGTTGGTATGTTTTCTGACTTGCCTACATCTATACTCCAGGTGTCACACAGCACCCTGCACACCTGAGAGCACGGTGGAAGGAGACTGTTTGGGAGAGCTCATGTGCGGAGATCTCTCTGGGCTTGTTGCTTAGGGGTGGATGGTATGACCTGGTGCCCTTTGATCTGCCTTGATGCTGTGTGTCTTCTAGCTCGCCAGAGCTGGAGGCTGCCCCATCTGCCTTCTCCAGTTCAATGTCTGCTGCAAAGGTAAACCAGCCACTGCCCTCTAACCAGGTGAGGCTCTTCATGGGTTTCTCCTTGAGCTCTTGGATCCTTTGCTCTTGGTACTGGGAGGAGTCATCTTATGCTTTGATGTGAACCAGTGGGCAGAGATGAGCATGGGACAGGGATGGCGTGGGTGTTGTGGGTGCCTCTGTGTAATGTCATGTTTATTTCTCAGGTGCAATGGCCAGACATCCAGGCCTCCAGTGATGCCTTCTGGGGAGCCCAAATGCTCCTTGAGTTTTCTGGAGGCAGTTTGGCTTGAGCCGCCACTTGTGAACCTGTTCAGCCCCCACAGGAAGCAGATGTGAACATACAACTTCATCGACATAGAGTAGAGCACATTATTTGGAACTAATAGTCCCCTGGAATTCCTGGGATTTTCTCTTGAGCTTCATTGAGGGCTGCTTAGCCCATGTAATGTTTGAATGTTTTAGCAACCTCCTGTACCGGAGGAAGCATTTGAGAAATGTTCATGAGAGCTGAAGTCAGAGCTAGGGTCTTTCCACCTGGCAGGGTAGATTGCAGCGCCAACCTCCCTGCAGGTTCTAGGCAGAGAAAACTTCTTAGTGTGAGGAGCATGCCCTCCACTGCTCCCAACCCCAGTCCTATCAGGGACAGGTCAGACTTCTTCCAGATCATTGGCAGGTGAAGTGTGGGCAGGGCCTAACATTGTGTGTTTGGTGCCTCTTCAGGGAGACAGGTATGGTGGGAATGCTCAGGCATGGTGGGGTGTGGTGTTTTTCCCCCTCTAGTTGTAATTTATTGTTTGGAAAACAAAATTTTCTGTTCAATAAAATAAGTTTGATGTTGTGAACACTGCACTTTTACTCATGTTCTTGTATCTGGAGCACCTGTCCTGTTACTCACTACCTTTCAGACCTTGGTCAGCATTCCTCATATGGAGGTGCATTTGTCAATGAATCAGGGATTGTTTCTTCGGTTTTTTTTTCTATAGGCAGCATCACATCTGACTTTTGCCCATTGTATATTTATTTATTTTATTTATTTTTTTACTTTTTGCTTTTTTTGGTCATACCCAGTGATGCACAGGGGTTACTCGTGGCTCTGCACTCAGGAGTTACTCCTGGCAGTGCTCAGGGGACCATATGGGATGCTGGGAATCGAACCCGGGTTGGCCTCGTGCAAGGCAAACGCCCTACCCGTTGTGCTATCTCTCCAGCCCCTGTATATTTATTTTATTGTGAGAAGAATGAATTACTCCCTTGGGCACGGTGCCCTGGAGGCCAAGAGTCTGGAATCTCCTGGTGTTTGTTTTTAACAAACTGCTTTGACCCTTAGGGGGGTTGTAATGCTCAGGCTCTAGATCCTCACCAAGTACAGCGAGTTAACGGACAGACTGTGGGGTATAGCTGGAGCCAAAGTCATGTTTCTGCTCTCAGGAGACTTCCAGCATTATGATAATGATACTTGTATACACTGGCAATTGTGGGTAGCGAGTGCTGCTACGAAGGGACAGTGCAGGTGACTGAGAATCCAGGATGTGTGGACTGGAGCTCCCTGGGAAGGGAATGTCTTTACTGGAATCTTTTTGCTCATTCTTGCTCAACCCTACAGCTCAAGGACCTTCCCAGAGCATGCATCTCCCTAATTTCCACTCTTATGGGACCATGGAATCCACCTTCATCGCCAAAACAGTATGTCCAAGTATGCCCCAAAATGTATGTCCAGTAATAATTTGTATTTGCACTTAGGACAGTCACTCACTCTCTGTATTCCCTATATACTCTACTAAATATATTCTCTGTTTTTTAAACATGGGCTGGAGCGATAGCACAGTGGATAGGGCATTTGCCTTGCACGCAACCAACCCAGCCAGACCCGAGTTTGATTCCTCTGCCCCTCGCGGAGAGCCCAGCAAGCTACCAAAAGTATTTTGCCTGCAAGGCAAAGCCTGGCAAGCTCCCTGTGACGTATTCTATATGCCAAACACAGTAACAAATCTCACAATGGAGATGTTACTGAGCCTGCTCGAGCAAATTGATGAACAACGGGAGGACAGTGTGACAGTGTGTGTGTTTTTTAAACATAATCAACTTTCAGAGCTGTTAATAAGATACAAAGACCTTTTTTCTTTTAACCATTAAAACTATTACTGACCTCATATCCTATTATTCTCCTAATACTTAAATTTTTGGCAGGGGGGCAAAGAGATCGTACAGTGTGTAGGGCACTTGGCATGCATGTGGCCAACCTGGGTTTGATCCCTGGCATCCCACATGATCCCTTTAGCCCCTGCCAGGGAGTAATTTCTGAGTGTAGAGCACTACCGGGTGTGACCCCCCAAAAAGCCATATGGGGTTCCGGAGATTGAACCCCTGTTAGCCACATGCAAGTCAAGTGCCCTGCCTGATATACTTTATCTGTGGCACCTACTTCTTAAAATTTTAAGCTCTTATTTTTGGAGACTACACCTGGTGGTAGTATTCAGGGATTACTCCTGGTGCTGTGTCCAGGAATCATTCATCATTTCTGTCTGTGCTTGGGGGACAATATGCAGTGAATGAAAGAAAGCACTCTGCCAGCTATGTTCTCTCCAGCCCCGTAACAATACTTTAAAGTGTTCTCTTCAGATCAGAAATTTGACATATCCATTGCACAACCCTCAAAATAGGGAAATTCTTCTGCCTACTGTCATACTCCATTTTAATGTAACCAGATGTCTAAAATACTGAATTTCTTCTCATATCTACATTGTACGCATTTGACGTGTCTTTGCTTTTGGAGAAGAGGAGCTTCCCAAAGGGATCCCAGGGGATATTACTGGTAACACTCAGCCAGTAAAGCTGTTGTTTGGTGCTAGGGTCAGAGGATGCAGTGTTGTTCGGACCCTGCAGTCTTGGGGGCCAGAAGGACCACATCTGGTGATGCGTGGGGACCTTCAGAGCTACCCCTTGCAGTAATTAGGAGGAGCCATGTGGTCCCAAGGGAGGAAATCTGGCTTAGGCCCTGGCCCCAACATAAATTTAACTCTTTAACTCTATCCCATGATGTCTGGGGATCATACACTTGGTTGTAGAGCATTGGAGGTGGCACAGTTATGTGTCAGTGCTGCTGGAGTGTTGGTGATATGGGATGGCGCCACGTGTATGCAAGCAGACTCACGCCTGTTCAGTCACAGCCCTGGGCCCAGTGGTGGTGTTCATTATTTATTAATCCTGTGTTTATTGAGGCACCATGCTTTACAATACTGTAAAGTACCAAAACGGTATTTTTTGGATACATGCTTTACAATTCTGTAAAATACCAAAAATGGTATTTTTGGATATATCAACAGCACACCCAACACCAGAGTGTGTCTGTTCCACCAGTGTCCTAGAGACCTTCCCCTCTCACTCCTCCCCCACATCCAGCAACTCGAATCACTGTTGTTTGAAAGGGGGTGTGTTTTGAGGAAGGGAATTGTCTTCAGGAGGCAACAACGATTTAATGAGGAAGAAATTTACAATTACATAAACATTGACATAAATATGCACTCATAAATGATTTGGATTCCTAAGTTCAGTAAATATCAGATCTCCCGTGTTTTCTCCTGTTGTAATGCTCTGGTTTCATGACTTCACCTGGGGAATGGGTACACAAGTCTAGCGGTTGTGGGTTTGCTTCCTCTTCCACACAGAGGTCTGGTGTGTACCTGTAGGGCTGCTTTGTTGTGCTCCCTGCAGTGAGGTGGTGTGCTCAGACCCCTTTCCATGGAGTGTGTATGGGACAGTATAAGCCATGAAGCTATTCCCTATCTACACTCTGTTTAACAAGAGGTAACAACAACACGTTTTTGTTTTTGGGTTCCCAGACCCCAGTGAAATCGGAGTGAAGAACCAGGTACATATTCCCTCACCCCGAAAGGAGAGAAAAACGCATGTACCTGCTCACAGCTCTAAAACACTTGGTGGGAAAGCTCTGCTGGGATAGAGGACTGGAGGGAGTCACCCACAAGTTTCAGCTTAAATGGTATTTCTCAGAATTCTTGGAGCCATGCAGAAAATGGAGAGAAAAGGTTTTTTAAATTTTATTATTATTTTATTTATTGAATCACTGTGGGAAAAGTTACAAAGCTTTCAGGTTTAGGTCTCGGTCATGCAATGATAAAACACATTTCCCTTCACCAGTACTTATTTTTCACCACCAAGAACCCCAGTATACCCCCCTCCCACCCCTCCCAATGCCTGTGATGAATTCTAATTAATACTCTATCTACTTTGATTAGATTCATTGTTTCAACAAAAGATGCACCATTGTTGTTTAGAGTTTACACCCCAAAATCAGACCTGCTGAAAAGGCATTGTGAAATGATTTGTTTACTACAGCTGGTTACAAGAACCAAATGATTTTGGATTTCTGATATTTTACTTATTAAGCCTGGAAGTATTTCTTCCGAGAGCCAGATAATTACGAGATTGGTTTCTGTGGCTCTGGAGCCATGGCTGTGCCGGAGAGCTGCTCGTGGGGGGCAACCTGTGATCTCGGTAGGGCGTGAAGGATGAGCCGAGAACGCCCCCCTTCCCATGAGGTTTCAGTTGCCCATACCCGCTCATACCTGGCTTTCCAAAAAGCTCCGAGGTGGCCGCCATATTGCTGTCCACGGGGAAAAAGTTGGAAGGGAGCAACACCCTTTCCTCCTGGGCAGGCATGGTGCCGTGGATTAACGCATAGTCCATTCACTGAGAAAACAGTTTTGACGGCTGACTGGCTGCGTGTACGAGCATGAAGTATTTCACCTAGCATTTGGACCACCTTGCCTCTCTCCACAACTCTCAGCTCATGTCCTGTAACCAGGAGCCTTGCCTTGCACAGTTAGACCATCGACTCTCCTATGCTGTGATCTCAAGGTGTGTCCGCGCCTCAATCTCTGTGGAGTTGGAGTGTGCCTTGTTTCTCTCTCCCAGTTCCAGGCTCAGGTCACCTCATGCACTTCTTGGTTTCATCAGAGGGCACCTTGTTTTTCTCCTCTGGCTTCCACAGAGCTGGTGGTTCAGCACAGGTGCTGGTGGTCAGGCCTTTGACCCTGCCCTCTTCTCTCCTCCCAAGCTCACTCCCCCACCTCTTACCACTGCACCCTTCATCCCCGCCCCCTCACCCTGCCCTCGCCCCTGCACCCTGGTTCTTGTGCTGCTTCTGCTTTTCTGGTTCTTCATTCCATGCTTGCCTTTGAACTGGTGATGGGAGAATCCTGTGTGGTGGTTTCCTGGTCCTCCATGATCCTCTGCATGCGTTTTCCTGTGCTAACTTATGCCTGAGGTGAAGCAGGTGAATATATTTACCCTCCAGCTGCCCCAGTCAGGGGC